TTATGAGCCAAGGAATATGTCTGCTATAAGGCAGAAAGATGTTCCAAGGAAATCTTTGTGGTACCTTCCAATTACCCCAAGATTGTAGCGACTATACATGTCTAGAAAAATAGCAGAGCACATGACATAGCATTTGAAATGCCGTGAGGATGCGAATGAAGTTATTCATCCTGCGGGTAGTGAGGCATGGAAACACTTTGATGAAACCCACCAAACATTTGCTGATGAACCTAGAAATGTTAGACTTGCCCTTTGTACAGATGGTTTCAATCCATTTGGTTGCTCTGCAACGCCTTACTCTTGTTGGCGTGTTTTTCTTACAGTGTACAACCTTCCTCCTGAATTGTGTATGAAGTCAGAGCATATATTTCTTGCCATGATAATTGCTGGACCTAAAAGTCCAGGAAAAAACATTGATGTTATGCTTAGGCCATTAATTGATGAACTTAAGGAATTGTGGACAAATGGGGTTGAAACTTATGATAATTTCAGACAACATAATTTTATCATGAAAGCTGCATTGCTATGGACTATAAGTGATTTTCCAGGTTATGGCATGTTATTTGGATGGAGCACACATAGGAAGTTGTCATGCCCTTATTGCATGGAGAACACTAAGGCTTTTCAACTTCAATATGGGAGGAAAACATCATTTTTGATTGTCATCGTCAATTTTTACCTTCTAAACATCCATTTCGTAAATAGAGTTGAAAAAAGCCGCCGCCCCCCCAAGACTAGATGGTACTTTGATGGAAGAAAGGGTTAATAAGCTCCCTGACATAGTCTTTGGTCAGCCACTTCGTAAACATTCAATTGCAGGATTTGGTGTTTTTCATAATTGGGTGAAACGTAGTATATTTTGGGAATTGCCATACTGGAAGGATTTATTGATTCGTTATAACCTTGATGTCATGCATTGTGAGAAGAATTTTTTAGATAACATTAAAAATACTGTCATGGATGACAAGGGTTGTATGAAGGATAACACCAATGCTAGATTGGATTTACAACTGTATTGCAATAGATCTGAATTAGAATTGATACCTCAAGATGATGGAACAACTATAAAACCCAATGCTTCATATGTTCTTAGTCGAGAGCAACGAGCTCTTATCTGTCAGTGGCTGAAGGAATTGAGATTCCCAGATGGGTATGCATCCAACATAGAATGATGTGTTAACATGCAGGAACTTCGATTGTTTGGGATGAAAAGTCATGATTGCCATGTATTCATGCAGCGTCTCTTGCCAATTGCTTTCCGTGATTTCCTCATAGATGAAGTTTGGGGTCCCTTAACTGAGATGAGTAACTTTTTTAGAGCTTTAACTGCTTCGATTATTCAAGTCAGTAACATGGAGATGTGGGAGGAAAAATTTGTTGAGACAATTTGCAAGTTAGAGAAAGTATTCCTGCCAGCATTCTTTGACTCGATGGAGCATTTGGCTATCCATCTACCATATGAGGCAAAAGTTGGAGGGCTTGTCCAATTTCGTTGGATGTATCCTTTTGAAAGGTATATTTCTTCTAATATATCTTTACATCACAATAACATTCATGAGCATATTTAATAATTTAATGTTATTAATTAATTTTCTTATTTGTTTAATACAAAAATGCATGACCTTAAGAAAACAGTGTTGAACAAAAATCGGGTTGAAGCTTCAATTTGCGAGTCTAATATTCTTTCAGAAATTTCCTTCTTCTGCTCGCATTATTTTGGATCTAACATAGACACAAGATTGAATCGTCAACCAAGAAACATTGTCGGCGTGAATAATGATATGGATAATTGTTTGCCTGTCTTTAAACATCAAGGTCAACCATTAGGTGGAGAAATGCGTATACGTGCATTGTCACCCAAAGAATTAAAAGCAGCAGAACTTTATGTTTTGCTTAATTGTGAAGAAGTTAATCCATGGATTGCGTATGTTCTCTAGTTCTAACTTTCATTTGTTTAAGTTACTAGTATGTTTAGATCTCAATTTACTCCAACTTCTTCATGTAGGCTTTTTGATTATCAAGTATGTTCTGGTCTATCAAAGGATCAAATTCAAATCAAACGGCAACTTGAATTTGTTCCTTGGTTTAAGACAACGGCAAGTAATTTATTTTAATAATCTTTATTAGTAAGATCTCAATTTTTATATATTTTAGGATTAAATATTAAATATTTTTATAACAACTATAGGTGCGTAGTGGAAGATATGAGGTTGATTCTTGCCTTTTGCCTTTAGTAACTGGCCCAGTCAATAACGTTAGGGTATACAATGGTTATTGGGTTAATAGATTTCGGTTTCATACTATCGCATATGGACAAAATAAAAAGACCATGAATAGC